AGAATGAGTAAGCGGCAGTCACATGCAACTGTCCATTGGCAAGCCATCTCTTATTAGAGCGGGAACTGGGGTCCAGCACGCTCGGTTGGACTTGGCTCCAGCACTCTACTTTTGTGACAGTGGCAGACTTTAACCTTTGCACCCTGGCCTCGCCCATGAATTAGGAGAAACAAGAGTCGATCAATGTTGGGGAGTCAGTGCAGGAAGTTGGACTGTGATGGGGAGTCGGTGCTACTTCAAAACGTGCCTTTCTGCAGAGAACTAGATGATTAAAATCGCCAACTCCACCACTGCACCTGTCGCCAATCACTCAAGGATGCACTTTAAGAGGCATGTACTACATTCTCATCAGGTGTGACGGAAATTTGGTGATGAAATAGTTGGCAATGGAAACGAGGCCCAGAAAATTCAGTAGAAGACACAGTGGGAATGTCACCCGTCTTTTCTTCAATCCCATCTGAGCCGTTTCCACAGGGACACGGTCAGGTCTGGCAGTGTTTACCGAGGGCGGGTGTTACGTCTTTGCTTACGGTCAGGAGTGTGGGGTGCAGGCATGCAAGCAGGGTTGGCTGCCCAGAGTCACCTGGACCACAGGCAATAGCCCCTATTTCTGGCAAAAAGGGAAACACTCTAATACTTTTAGAATGAAGAACAGTTTGTAATTTATGACTTCCAGTAAGAAAACGAGGGTTTCCATGGCTTCCTATCGAAGAGGTGTGTGTGTTTTCCCTTCCAAAAATCCTAGTTGATACGGAAATGTTTCCCTTTTGAGAACCTGGCACAGGAACGCGCTCAGGAGCCCGCCGGGCAACTGGGCTACTCGCTGCACTTGTCCGACTCACGCACCTTGTGTGGCTTGGCCACCAACCAGCTGGCCAGCGGGGAGCAAGTGGAAGAGGTGGTTCTTTTCTGGTCACTGCACTCTGATAAGCAATCAGGATCCAAGATGCTCTGTGGGAATCTAGACACATGCCTGTTATTCAGAATCCCGTCTGGAGGATCCTGAGCTATGAAGCCAACTGCTTCCTGGGGACGGCCAGCTGAGCCAGGCGGCGGTAGGAGTGCCAGGGTTCCCCAGGGCAGCCCAGTGAGATTACGTCCTCTCAGCTCCAAGATCCTGTTTGACCTGGGAAAACCTGGCCAGACAGCATCCTGTGGCAAACAGGCACACACAGGAGGCATTAACCCTCTCTGCCAAATAACAGCCCCTTCGGAATAGTCATCTGTCATCCAGACACTAATCACCCCCGTCAATCACCCCATCTAGTTTGTTATCATCCATATTAGGTTAAAAAGGAAGCACACACAAAGAAGTCTGTTTTAACCTGAAATAATTTTGTTGATATTTGAATTGCGTTCAAGTGGGACATTTGCTTGAAACCACAGAATTCTCCGTCTGGATTATCATAGTACAAAAACCCTTCTCTCCCTCCCGCACCCCACCCCCCCAAACCAAAAAACCCCAAACCCACAACTCAGCTTCAAATGAGTTTTAAAGAAATGAGACTCTAAATATTTACATATGGATCGAGAAATAAATCACAAAACTATTTACAAAAATACACAAGCCGTATATGCAGTAACAATTTACACGGGTTCACAAAAATATTAAAACATAAAAAAACCACTATATAAATTAAAATTAAGGAACTCAAAAGTGTGGTCTACAACATCCTAGGATGCTTCTCACATGCAGGTCATGGTTGAAAAATCAGGTTTTGCTACCTCAGAATCTACACTGTCAAACAACCATTTAAATCTCTGAACACTTAACAGTACGCATCGGACAAGGCAGAGCCCGCGCACACTGCGTGTCTTGCACAGTTAACACACCATCCCCGGCGTTTCCGGCACACACAGCACTGACAGTCACATGCCTCTAACCACTGGGAAGTAACCTCCTGACATACGCTTGCTTTCATCATCACTTCCTTACACACCCTGCTCAGGTAACGCTTGGCCGATACTGGATGGGTGGTGGGCTGGGCAGGGGACAGACATGTGGCCTTGGCAGGCTCCCTCGTTAGCAGAAGGGGCAGATTTCAAATTCACATTGTGTGCATCCGCTGCCGCCTCCGATGTGCGAACCGCCTCTCCACCCCCTCCACACTCTGTCCAGGTGAGCCCTAGAATTTTCAACCTGACCCTAACTGTTTTCTAAAAATGCTCTCTGTCATTACAAACATGTGCAGGCCTCCCCGTGGGGCCGTCCAGGGATTGCGTTTTAAAAGGAAACTGGAGACAGTAAGCAATAAGGCTCAGATGAAATTTAGTGACAAGAGAATGGCGCCTCTGGGGCTGTTAGCAACGTCTCTGGCCAGACACCCGGGGAATATTGATTTCGATCCAACCACACACTGGCATCAGGATCTTGCCAAAGATAAAACCTGGAGAGAGGATTATGAGAATCCCAATAGAAATATGGGTTTGATGCATAAGGCAGCTCCATTTCCTTGATCAGAATGCTCCACGCCACCGTTGGAAAGGAACCATCCTTCATCACACTATCTGGGAAGTCGCACAGGCGGACTATACTGAGGTAACCCGGCTCACAGTGATTTGCCATCCGATTTCTACCCGACGGTATTGGAAAGGGAAAGACACAGGCAACGTCCCTTAAATAACAAACTCCGAAGTTAAGGCTGTTTCTACACACAGGAAGTGAAACAACGCTAGACTGTACCTAGAGTTCGTGTTTCACACTCATACCGGTAATTTGAGTCATTTTTTCTGTAATCAAAATATTTACCTGATATTTCTGAGCCCATAGGACACGAGTAAAATAACTGCTTTGAGGAATTGACCGTAGTGTTTATAAAAGACTTCGGTCGCAGGAGAAATTGTGTGTGACCACAAATCCACGAATATTAAGACTGGATGGAGGGATTTTCAGCCACGCCCTTCTGGACTCACATCCTTCTAAATCCTTTTTCTTTTTTACTAAAAATAATATATATGTATATTGCTTTAGGAGAACAAACGGTGTGAAATGTTTTACCAGGATGACACTTTACCAAATATTGAGGAAAAAAAACTGTCATTAAAGCCATCTATGTCCTCGCCACAGCAGCTCTCTCCGATGGCCATGCTGCCGGGAGAACACAGGGCCGTGTGATCACAAAGGGCAATGGGCTGCCTACTTGATAAAAAGACAGTTAAAGTAAAAAATAAAATTAAAATCAGTGCCGTCTATTCACCAAAGACCAAACTCCTGTCACAGCACCCGCGGTTCGTGTACCGAGCGGGAGCCGGCCAGGTTGCCTAATGGACGCTGGGCCAGGCGGGTCTGCACCTTTAACGGGAAGGCCCTCGGCCCACAGCCTCTTCACAGATCAATCTCAGGGTTTCTTCTACCAGGATCCTGACGGAATCCCTCTGATCAATTCTGGGGCAACAAAGGAAAACCTTACAGAGTATGTTCACATATAAATAAATGTGTCATTCTTAAAACTTTATTTCTTTGCCTAAATATAAACCCTTAAAATGCAGTCACACGTGTGTTTTTTTTATTTTTATTAAATAAAAAAGGAACTGGCATGACTCCTAATCTTTATACAAATTCACAGCAATCATAGCAGCATAAATTTAGCCTCTTAAAAGATTTCTTCCTTTGCTCTAAATACAAGTTAATTCCAAGTTTTACAAAAGCCAGAGCAGCGACCATCCAGTGAATGGAATGAAAGCCCCCAGGTGTGAATGTATAAAAATCAAGTGTTACTAAGAGTCCTGGAATGAAATGACAATCGAAACGCGTCCTGGTAAAGGCAGGACTGCCTTGCTCGCCTGGCGCGCGCGATCGGGGTGAGTTGAGAAAATGGAATTGCGTTGGGCTGGAGAGGTGCCTAGTCCAACTCGAATCGGGAATAAGTGCAACTCTCAAAAGAAAGTTGTGGGTGCCGGGCACGTGTAACATGCCCACAGAGTTATCAGAATGGTACCGGAAATGCTGGTGTCGATGGCAGTTACAGTAGACTGTGATAGCAGAGGGAGTGAGCAAACAGCACACCATTCCTCAGGGCAGAAAGGTAACCGCCCGGGATGCCCACGGTGAAACAGGGCTGTGTACTGCACCGTTATTGCAGGTTTACGAACAGGTACAACATAGCTACTTTAAGGATCCCCAGGAAACCTGCAGTCAGAAACAGAAATTAACGTGTAAGTTTGCCATCTTGATCAATTGCGTGTTTATCTAGTCAAACCATGCTGGGGGTCGTTTCCATTTTTAATGAAAAAAAAAGTTGCTTTAGGGAAACAAATGGTGTGAAATGTTTTACTAGGGTTACAAGTCACTAACTCTTAAGAGAAATGGTAGGGCACGCTGGAAGCAGGGACAGAGCTCTCTGGTGCTAACAGCGCCCCCTGGCGCCCGCCTGAGAATGTCTGACTCTGCCTTTGACCATCCCTTCCCCTGGGATCTGAGCCTGTTCCTGGAGCTGAGAAACACCTCTGAGAAATAAGGATGCGCAGGACATGGGGCAGCCTGGGCCTACATGGTTTGACTCTTTATGATGACTCTTTACTACACGCTTAGTCTTACTTCCTGTATGTTTTAGTCAGAATCTGCAAATGTTCAACTGACTTAGCTGAAGGATCAGGGGTTTTTTCTCTGTTGGAATTTAACACGAGACGGGGAGAATGACATGACACCTGGGTGCCAGCCTGAGCCAGCGACACGGGCCCTGGGGAGGAATGCAAAAGGAAATGGATGGCAACTGCTCTGAAATATACGGCCGACACCAGGAAGGACAAAGCCACTTTCAAACTCAGGTCCAGGCAGTCCTCAGGCTCGTAGGGATGCGCGTGAGGTGGCGACAGGCTCTCTCCGAGGTGGTCACCACCGTGCTTTACAACCACTCAGATCTCGTCTAGTGACAAAGCGAGTCCTTAGAGGCGGAAAATGGAACAGGAAGGGGAGAAGGGTGGCGATTGATTTTTCTGACTATGTTTTGTTTTTGAATGTGGTCGTCAACTGACTTAGCTGAAGGATCAGGGGTTTTTTCTCTGTTGGAATTTAACACGAGACGGGGAGAATGACATGACACCTGGGTGCCAGCCTGAGCCAGCGACACGGGCCCTGGGGAGGAATGCAAAAGGAAATGGATGGCAACTGCTCTGAAATATACGGCCGACACCAGGAAGGACAAAGCCACTTTCAAACTCAGGTCCAGGCAGTCCTCAGGCTCGTAGGGATGCGCGTGAGGTGGCGACAGGCTCTCTCCGAGGTGGTCACCACCGTGCTTTACAACCACTCAGATCTCGTCTAGTGACAAAGCGAGTCCTTAGAGGCGGAAAATGGAACAGGAAGGGGAGAAGGGTGGCGATTGATTTTTCTGACTATGTTTTGTTTTTGAATGTGGTCGGGGGGGGTTGTAGCTTTTTTCTTTTCCTTTTTTTTTAAATCTTTTTGGTTACTGAAAAAAATAGAACAGTCCACTGTCCAGCAGAGGCTGCTTCAACTCTATTGCTCTCGGGGCTCATTCCGCGTGGACCTGGGTTTCGGGGTGCTGCAGGGACAGCTCCGCGGGCAGGAAGGCGCCCTGCCCCAGCGCGGTGGCGTAGGTCCTGCTCTGCGGGTGGGCGAAGCCAGGGGGCAGGTAGGCCCCCATGGCTCCTCCCACGAAGCCTCCTCGCTGGAGCTGGGGTGGGGAGTGGTAGCCCTCCAGGTTGTCGTACTGGGACACGGTGGCCAGGCTGCCCTGGCGCCGGCCGTGCGCTGGGTACTGGCACAGCTCCCCGCTCTGGGTGTGATGGAGCTTCAGGCTGTGACTCCGCTCCGGCTTCGGGGGTGGGACCGAGGCCTGGCCGAGCGGCTCCTCCTCCGGGTAGCAGTCTCGGGGGTGTTTGTCTGGGGCGGGGGGCTGCCTGGCCCGAGGCCTCTCCAGCTCTTTGCAGAGCCTCGCCTCTTTGTGGTTCAGTCGCAAAGACTCGGGGCCCATGGTCATGTACTTCCCTCCAGAGTTATGGTAGCTGGCGGGCTCACAGGCGTCCGGACTCCCTTTGGCCCCATAATCTAAGTGGCCGGCCCCCTGGGGGTGAGGGGGCCCGCTCTTCGGCTCGCACAGGTGCCTATGGCTTGCTTCCTGGTGTGCCCTGTGCTCCGGGAGGCCGCAGCCCGGGTCGTGGAGCTTGCGGTTCCTGAGGCTGCTCTGCTTCTGCGGGAGGGACGGTTTCTCTGGCTGCCCGTTGCCGTGCCCACCGTGCCCTCCGTGGTAATGGGCCCTGTCCAGCTCGGCCTCCGGGTGCTTCCTGTAGAAGGGGTCGCCGCCCTCGGGGCTGAGGGCCTTCCCCGGGGGCCGGGCCTCCTTCCCCTCGGCCACGGAGAGAAGTCCAGTTTTCCCAGGATCGGATTTGCTGCGCAGGTGGATGACATAGAGCCCACCCAGCTCGTCCTGCAGGGCCGGGCTCATGTTGTCGTACTGGGACATGACGGGCCCCTTCACCTTCTGCCGGGCCCGGCTCTCCCTGCGGATGGACTGCATGCGGTACTTCTCCATGTCCTCAAAGTCCCACGAGGTGTAAGTGTGCTTCCCGTCGGCGGCCGGGGGCATGCCGACGACACCGTGGTCATTACCGGAGAAATAGCCGGTCACGGTGGCCCGGGGCCGGGGCGGCAGCCCGGCGTACCCATACAGGCTCTTCCCCTGCAGCCGAGGGTTGTGGAAGGCAAAGTCGCGGCTGGGCAGGCGGTGCAGGGGCCGCAGCTGCACAGTGCCGTAGGCGTCCACGTCGCACAGGGCGCCGTCGGGGCTGTAGTAGGAGCCGGAGGAGCTGGAGTAGGGGCTGTAACGGTAGTGCACCCGGCCATTCTCAAAGTAAGGCTGCAGCTGCGTGACGTGGTAGTCCGAGCGGGCCTGGGAGGCCGGGTATGGCTTGTACTGGTACAGGGGCCTCGGGCAGTAGGCGGGCTCGTCGTCGGGGGGAACCTCCGTCCGGGAGATGGGGACGGAGCGGATCATGGCAGCCGGGGGCGTGTGGAGAGACTGCACCCTCCGGATGGTGGGGTACGGGTCTTCTGGGTAGCAACCACCCCGAACAGATGAGCTCAGAGAAGACACGTACTCGACCCGGCTGCACGGCTTGGAGTGGTGTCCGGACGCACTTCTCCCGGGGGCCACGTAGGTGTTGTAACGGGGACCCACGGAGGCTGGCGGCTCGGACCGGGCCCCGTAGGCGTGGTGCGGCTCCAGGCCGCTGTGATGGGGCGGCACGCTCTGGGCACGGTACTGGCAGTTTGGAGTCATATTGAAATGCACACAGTTTTCCGGACCGAAGGGCTCAGGGGTGACGTCGGGCCTCGTGAAGGTGGCGTAAGTGGCTTTCTGAGGCGCGTGCTTCGGCTGCGGGACGGGAAGTGGCAAAGGCAAGACATCATCCCCGGCGGCCGAGGCGAAGGGATGGTAACTGGCGCCGCTGGCCGCCTCCACACCACCACAGTGGATGGCGGCCGCGACTTTACTCT